AAACACTCTCTGCATTAACCTCAAATTGTGAATGTTGTACGAAGAACAATTCAAGAAGTGGATAAAACAGATTCTATAATATAATTAACACTAATCGATGAAATAAATAAGTATCAGGCGATGGTAATTGTCTCCAAGAAGTTCTGACATGATTCCTTACATAGTTTTAAGCGTGGCCTCATGACATACTCTGTATATCAAAACTTGGATCGGTCAAACATATCCATCGTTGCAAGTATGAGCCAGATGGTATTATTATGACCCCGGTCCAAGTCTTCTGTTCGTCCGTGGTAAATCGAACCATGGAGGCTGAATCAAATAGTGGTGTCAGGGTGTTTGGACATGACTAAACAGGCCCAAAGTTTTCGCTAGTTCTATGGTGTTTGAACAAACATAAGACCTCTATCTGTATATGCTCCCCCCTAACCTTTTTTTTATCCACTTGCAAACCCTTTATTAATAGATTTATCGGACTCCATGGGTTCTTCTTATTGCTAAATTACATGACTACTGTTGCTACGAATTCATGTTTTTTTTCTTCTTCCTCATTAAAACTTGTATATTATTTGCAGTACTTGAGGTTTGATCATTTCTGTGGGAATGTTGTTTGGTAAATCCAAGATCTTCAAAATAATATTTTACCAGCTAGCTTCATTTTGACTATTGAATATCAAAGTTTAGATCATGTTATGTTTGGGCTTTAATTCTAGATAGGGGAATTGAGTTATGACATTAATACATGATGACAGTATTTATAAAGTATTCATAAAATTTATTAGCTAATTTCATGTTATCTCGACACAACATTTGTCAGAGGCCGTTCTGGCTATTACTTTTTGAAGTACATAGAGATGATTCCATTCCTACAAGTACAGTAGCTCATATGTTTGTAACATTTGAATTATTCTGAAGCAATTAATAATCTTTTTGGATAGGCGACGAGTAGGGAAACAATTGCTTAAGATGCGAAGTATAGGCATTTACAATAAAATGTCAACTCTAGTCTTGGAACTATATGAAACTAAGTACGCCAATTTTTACATGTTTGTGAGAGAGCGCATGACGGCCTATTATAAATCGAAAAAAAATTACAATTTTTGGACATATTAGAGAGTCTACTTTAGGTGAGGATGCTCAAGCTAGATCGTTGGGAATAGATAATTCAGATATCTTAGCTCGAGGAAGAATTATTTTTTCAGTGATGCTAATGGGATCTTATCCCATCAAACCCGTCTACTTTCATTCCTATAAGCCTCGATATGTCCTTCCCATGGCTTCACCTATTTTACTTGGTTGTTCGTTTGAAAGGAAAAAATTAAATCCATGGGTCCTGATCATCTTTTGACTTACATCACGCAAGGCTTCTGAATAGAAGGTGTGATTATGAGTTTTGAATAAGAAAACTTACATATAAACTAAAGCATGCCCAGGTCGATGAGACACGGGACACGCTTGCAGAGTAAAAGCCTCGGCAAAGTCAAGACCTTCCAACATGACATGGTTAGCGGAGGCTAGTGACAAACGCCAAGAAGCCATGAGACGGGTGAGGAAATCTCCAAAAAGTATGGACGGGATTAGGTCGCTGTTTTCGTTTCGAGATGCTCGACTGAATTATAAGAATGTATATCTTACACGAGCGGTTTGGCATGGTGGATGATGGTCTTTCATCGAAATTTTATTTTTATCAAGTTCGGTCTTACATGTCGTTACATGGTCTTCTGCGAGGTTCATCGTTAGAATGGAGTGATCTTGTCGTCATCTGCGAGTCATTCAGTGTGCTTTAAGTATATAATACAATGTCCACATTCCGCTTTTTCGGTTGATGTCCTCCACACACACACACACACACAAACACTCTCTCTCGCTCTGCGGCTTTTTCATCCCTTGATGGTTAGATCTGGAGTATCATTGTTTAACATGTTGGGATTCTTCCTGTCTGTGAGCAAAATCTTGCCTATTGTAGAGAGATAAAGTTTCACGGTCACAGTTCGAGTGACTCCACTTTTTGGACGGTCTTACATTCTCTATTCGATAAATGCGAACGAGGGAAGAGCTCGTTTGGGGCCACTTTTGCTATGAATCTCCAGACATCCAGTTTTATAATCATGAAGTATCATGTTCAAGTGATGGCAGTGTATGCATAGAGACAACGCTTTTTACATTTTCCAATCGGCGACAGGATTGTCTTTGACGTGAGAATATATAAATGGGGAAAGTAAGGAGCGACTTCTCGATGGAGCCTCGCTCGTCCTTGAGAGTCGAATTCGTAAACATTTGATATGCTTTCATTGCGGCCGCACTGTGGTTTGAAAAGCAGCATAATTGATGCTGTCAACCTCACCTCTCGTGTGACATTAACAATGCGCTTATGGCGTGGTGGCGTGTCCCCAACTCGGCTTCAACCGCTTGTTCTGGTATCTGTTATATTTAATCTGTTATCGCAGATAGAACATGTTTGATCTAGCGGGGCTTGCCTGCCTGCCACAACGAAACCCAGGATATTCCACAGAGGCGTTCAAGTCCCTCATCCCTCGATCACCCAGATATGATTTTTCTGGGCTCAAAAGGTAACAATAAGACCTGCAGACTTCTTACTGGGCGGAGCAGGTGCCTGGTGAGCGAGAAGAACGAAATGTCGACAAGAGAGATGACCTCGCTCGCTCGCTCGCTAGTCGACCGAACGAACAAAATATAACACCTTCTTCTATCTGTTCAGGACAAGTGTGCTCGACCTGACCCGACCTGACCTCTATGCATGGTGTCTAGCTCTAAGCCCGGAACGGGCTCGCTAAGTCCCAATCGGAGGTACTGTCGTACTTGATCGGGGTTACACTACGGCTGTGTACTGAGTGCGCATGTCTGCGTGGGGGGTGTACAATGGGGGGGTTAGGAAGGAAGGGGGAGAATATGGATCGAGGAAGATGGATGCGTACAAGTACAGTGCATGAAATGTACGTGATGGTATGGAGAGATGGAGGTATGGGAGGCGTAGAGGACGGCAATGGTGAGGAAGCGCGGTGTTACAGTACACCTGGGCATAAGCCCGACACATAAGCCCTCCGAGTGTGGAGAGTGGAGTGGCTGGTGAGGGTCGAGCAAACGACAGAAATGTTTCTTGTGATAGTAAAAGTGGCCAGAAAGTCTGGGGACAAAATACCCGATTGACTTCGGCAACAGACAAGGAGGGGGGAAAATAATGGAAGATCGCATCGTCATCGCTCCCCTCTCGAAGTGGCATTCAAAAATAATACATTTTCAAGTGCTCGAGATTCCTCATTCCGACAGAGTAAATAATACTGCTGTATCAGGTGCAGCAGCAGCGAGATTTGCACCTGTAACCTGTAATTTATATCATTTTCTCCTTCCCGTTGGTTCGACGGGGAAACTACGAGAGCATATGGAATAAAGAATGCCAAAAGTGCGAGCTCCATATTCTGCCAACAGCTGTTCGGCCTCCACGTATCGCCTCTCGTATTTCGGATCTCTCCCCGCTCTTCGATCATATTAATATTTACCCCTCCCCCATAAATGTACCATCGTCCTGAAGGAGCATGGTCGATCCAAATGTGTACCCAAACCGTTACTTTACGAAGTAAATAGATAAAAGAATAGAATATGTGAGGGATAGATCACTTGGTCCCAAGGATATATCTAATTTCAAAAATTATAAAAATAAAAAAAGGGAAAGGGGCCGACGTATCGAGACCTTGGGTGTCAAAAAATACGCCGGGAAAATACAGGCGCACCGAGGGTAGGGGGTGGGGTAACGAGTAGAATTCAAACGGGGAAACTATATTATATTTTACTGTCTGGAAGAGCCTGACATTGATTGCGTTCTTCTAGCCCTAACAAGAAAGAAAGTAGAGGAGGAAGACGAGGGGGGGTGTAGAGTAGGCGCTTGCGGATGAGAAAGGGGCCGCTGTTTGTTCTTACATTAATGAGCGCGGTTCTTGTAGCAGGAAGGGTGGCAGTGCCCTGACGGAGGCTAAGGAAGCCGACAATAATGGGAGGATCCGACAGCATAACGATAGTGGGAACTGAATTGGACTGAGCCGAGATGAAAAGCTATGGCGGATGCACTCCGGCGACGAGCGAACCAACGACGAGGGGCAGGGGCAGGGGCTGGGGCAAGGGTAAGCGCAGGCGAGCAGCGGTAGGGGGACTGGACCAGGCCCCGGACCCCGGACCCAGCCCAACCCGGCCCGGCCCGGCCAGGTCCAGGCACAGGCGCAGGCGAGATTGGTTGGGCCGGGGGGTAAATGTGTGTGTGTGTGTGCGTGAGTGTTTGTGAGCATTAGTTACTCGCAACAGCGAGACAGCTCAGAGCTGCAAAGATGAGGAGGCCGGCCAAGAGCAGTAGCATTAGATCGGTCGTCGGCCGAACGTCAGCAAGATTCACTTGCGGGTGAAAGCGGAGGGAAAGGGCCTCCGGGAGTGAACGAGAGAGTGAGAGCCAGTCAGGCCCCCCAGTCCCAGACGGACACGGCGTGAGACGGAGAGAGAGAGAGAGATTGAGAGATAGAGAGAGAGGAAGGAGGAGGAGGACTACTGCGACGACGACGACGACGCGGGCAGGCAGGTGGGGAAGGAGGCAGCTCCTCGCTCCGACTGATATTCGCCCGGATGCACTAGACCTCTGCACAGCGCTGGACTGGAGCCCGGATGGACTGGAATGGACTGGATGCGACTGCTGAGGAGCGAAGGAGGAAGGAAGGAATTCGGGAGGGATAGAGGGAGGGACCGAAGTTGAGAGAGGGGGAGTGAGGAGGTGAGGGGGAGTCTGATTCTGACCGGGGAAGGAGGTTAGAGAGAGACGAGAAGGGGAAGGGGGAGGGGGAGGGGTGGGGGGGCCGGGGGAGGGGAGGGGGGTGGGCCGCAGCAGTAGCACGCTACCCCACGCTGCAGCGCTGAGCCTGCTGCTGCTCTAGTCTCTCTCCTCTCTCTTCGGCTTCGCTTACCGAGGCCCAGCGAGGGAAGGAGCTAGCTAGACAGACCAGAAGCAGACTTCTTTCACCTCATCATCACTTGGGGGTTTGCTGCCTGCCCCTACACTTTCACAAGTTTCCGTTTCTCCCTCTCCCTCTCATCTCTTCATCGCTCGCTCGCACTACTCTCTTCTCTTGTTCTCCTTAGCTCCGGTCTTTGGCACTCCTGTCTCCTTTCCGCTTCTCACTTCAGCGGGCTCTGAGTGAGCGAGTGCGTGTGCTTGTGCGTGAGCGAGCGAGCGAGCGAGCGAGAGCGCTGGCTTGCTTCCTTGCTTCTTCCTTTTCCCTCTTCCCTCTTGACTTACTCGCTCACCTCCTCCCTTCGAGTCGAGTCGTAAGGAGCAGGCGATTGGGGCGAGTTCACGCTAAGTGTCCAACGCTTCCCTTGTCCACTTTTATTCTGCTCGGTGCGGGAGCGAGAGGGAGACAGTGCGAGAGACAGTGAGAGGGAGGGAGGGAGGGAGGGAGAGAGTGACAGAGAGAGAGAGAGTGTGCGTTCTCGTGTGGTGTTGTGGGGGGTGTTGTGGGGGAGGAGGGTGCCGGGGGCGGAATTGTCCTCAATGGATTGAGAGAATCGGAGATTTCCCTGTCGCCTCATTCTTTTTGGGATTCGCTCGCGCTGCCAGCGGACGGGTGGGCGGTGAGACGACGTGATAGAGCGGGCGCTCACGTGAATGATTTCGGGCGAGCTCGTATCCGGCTACTGAGCACGGAGCAATGCGTTTTTGGGGGTCCAGGAACAAGTCAGAGGAATTGTGTATGTCATCGAGAGGGGATATCTAGAGTTTATAATCCGACGTAATATATTATCGCTCGCTCGCTCGCTGCCGCTGCTGCCTGTGCTGCGCGCCTCGCATGTCGATTGGGCCCGAGCAGCAGCAACGACGTGGGGGAGGAGGATTTATGGTCTAGTCCGCGCCTCGGCTGGACCCGCCAGGGAGTCGGTGCGTCGCAGCAAATTTTGACATTGGAAGCTATCGAGCGCCGCGGATTAGATCTTCCGACCTGCGGCCCGGCGGAACGATCTCGCACTCCAGCAGCCGCAGCAGCTGGTCACGTGCGCCATCGGGCTCATGTGATAGACACAAGATCCAGCGGAGGGGCACGGATGGAAATTGAGTTCTGGAGCACCCCGATGTGAATTCACAGGCTTCGCAACGCAACGCAACGCAGCTCTCCACTTGCGCGCGGCTCTCTCTCTCTCTCTCTCTCCCTCTCGTCCCGACTCGACCCGACGACGACGACGCGACGACGAGGGTCATCAGCGAGCGCGAGCCTTATGTGAATCGGGTGATCGAACAGATTGGGGAGTAGAGGAGGCGGGGGAGGAAAATTAGCCAGGGGTTATACACAGCAGTCACAACGGCCAAGGTCGCCCGAGGTGGGTATGTGTACATGGCGGGGGTGGATCATGCCACCGGTATCCCTCATGGCCACGACCAAAATCAATCGATGCATCCGCGCGATCAGCAACCGCACACGTCCGAGGACGAGAACAGCGGCAGCAGCGGACCTGGCAGAGGGAAGAAGCGAGGCAAGATTGAGGGGAAGCCTGGCGGGCCGCCTGTGGGGCAGGAGGGCACAGGGGGGCGCAAGCCGCGCGGTAGGCCACCAGGATCGAAAAATAAGCCCAAGCCCCCAATCTACATAACGCGCGACACCGGCAGCGGCATGAGGCCGCATGTGCTCGAGGTGCAAGGGGGCAGCGACGTCGGGGAGAGCGTCGCGGCCTTCGCCCGGAGGCGGGGGCGCGGCGTGTGCGTGCTCGGGGGCAGCGGCACGGTGGCCAACGTCACGCTCCGGCAGCCGGCGGCCCCCGGCGCCACCGTGACCTTCCATGGCCGCTTCGACATTCTGTCGCTGTCGGGCGCGTTTCTGCCCCCGCCGGCGCCGACGAGCGCCGCGGGGCTGACCATCGCGCTGGCCGGGGCCGCCGGGCAGGTCGTGGGGGGCACGGTGGTGGGGGGCCTGCAGGCCGCAGGCCCCGTGCTGGTGATCGCGGCGTCGTTCCAGGGCGCGACGTTCGACCGATTGCCGCTGCCGGACGAGGGCGACGACGGGCAAGGCCATCCCCAAATTACGCAGGGGTCCGAGTACGGCGGTGCGCTGTATAGTGTGAACCCGCAGATGGGTGTCAGTGCATGCCAACTCACGAGTTCGGACGTGAATGTGATGTCCTGGGCCACCGCTCCACGCCCTCCTCCCTACTGAAGAAACGAAAAGTCATTGCTTTGCTCGCCTCCTACCAAGGTCACGCTCGAGTTGTCCTCGACGTCCCCATGCCAGACAGGAGATGGAGATTTGTTCATCAGGGCCCATGCATTGAAACTCCTGCAAGTTTATCATAGACGGCATCAATTCACCCGCTCTCGACTCGACACTGGTTCTCTCTCAGGCTAGGGATGCACATGCAGGCAGGCAGGCAGGCAGGCAGGCAGGCAGTTGCGTGTCGCCGCAGCAGCAGCTGCAGCTGTGTTCTTTTCGTTTCTTCTCCCCCGACGAGCCAGCCACAGCCACAGCCACCGCACCGCACAGCCAGCAGCAGCCGCAGCAGCAGCAGCAGCAGCCCGCCCCACTGTTGTAGTACGCGCCAGGACGACACATTTGGATTGATCTGTACAATATAGAGCAGCGGCCATCTCTCACTTTCACGGTTGTGACGTCCTGCCATTCATCAACCGACCGCTCGCCTCGCTTCGCCTCACGAGTGCGACGCCACAAGCTGAGAGTCTTTCATGGGAGGTTTGAACTTGATTGTGATCACCCTCCCCTTTCCCCTTTCCCACCCTTCCTTAACTTCCGCTTGTCCGTCCTCTATTTTTCTTTTTATTTTTCACTTCCCTTACTTCCCACATCATCTTCTTGACAAACACCACCGATATCGTCATTCCATTCGCCTTCCTCCGTCTCCGACTCCATCTCCACCTCCATTCTACGCTGCGTATACCCTCCTGTCCTGTCCTGACCTGCCCTCGCCTTCCCTTGCCTTGCCTTCCCGTCCGTTTAATTGCTCCATCCCCGTCTCCCTCTCCCTCTCCCCCTCCCTATTTCTGTCTGTCTGCCTCGGGCACACACGCACGTAACTAGGAATGTGGCATCGTAAAGCAGTCAAGTAAATGTAGCAGAAATCGAGAGATAGTACAGTAGATGTGCTGGTCAGGTTTGGCATGGCATAAAGTGCAGTTACGCCCAATTTTTCATTGTTCTTCCTCTCGCTCTTCTGAAGCTGATGCAGCACAGCAACACTTTTATGAACAGGAAGGATGCGCCTGCATTAGTCGGACGACTGAGAGCAAAGCAGGGGATGTAAGGATCAGCTTAATGTAAGGAATTTGCTCGAGTCAAACCGCTCGGTTTGTTGGGTGTGTCTGTGATGGGCGTATGAAGTTTCGACCGGGGCTTGATTCATTATCCCTCAAATAAGCACAAATAAAGCGAAGGACGGCATTGGCGCCCGGCGCCCGCTGCTGCTCGTCGCTTTACCCGGAGAGGAGGGAGGGGGAGAGAGGCGGGACTAAATGTTTGTCAAGTGGGACCTCAGGATCAGATGTAATTCATAGAGCAGTAAAGTAGCAGAAATCATCATCATCATCATCATCATCAGAAATAAAAGGAGATGCGGATTAAAGCATCTATATTTCGAAGCCCTGAGACTGCAGTTTGGTCGGTCCAAACTCCACAATCTCCGTGTCTCTCCGCTCCTTCGATCCTCTCTCGCCCCGTCTCATCCTCCCGCCCAATTCCCCTCGTCTTTTTTCTTTTCTTTTCTGCTCTCCTCTCCTCTCCTCTCCTCTCCTCCCATCTCCCTGTGTCTGCGTAGATCCTGAGGCGGTGTCCCTGTGGGTGGAAGTGAAGGTCCGGTCGCTACTCTACCTGTGCATGGTCTCTCGTCCTCTCCTCGTTCAATCCACTCGTGTGCGTTCTGGTGCTCGAACCATCCATCCCGAGAGGTCTGTCTGAACTCATGCCGTCTGCAACAATGAGGCAGCCATGTGAACACTTCGAGTAGTTGAAATTGTGATTGCTTTATTTACACTAACTTCAGCCGCTTCCCCACCAGCAGGAGTGGTGATCGGGGGTAATGTCATACTTTCGATACTTTTAATAATCGTTTACTTGGAAATTTCAGCCTCTGTGCTATTTTTGCTTTCGAATCCGTGCGCGTCTCATGTTGAATGCTAGATTTTTCCTTCTCGTTCGCCTCCGCCGCTTGAATTTCGTCCGAGTTGAATTCCTTCTTATTTTTGACGATTGCAATTCCGCTACTGGGACGATTTCAATCGCGTGCACAAACGGACCGGACCGGACCAGACCGGACCAGACCAGACCAGGCCAGGCCAGGTCAAAGGGGGTAGTCGATTGGGATGCGCGTCCTTCTCGTATTTCGTGAGCGGGACTAGCTGCCCTAGATGAAGACGATGATGGATACGGATGGATGGATGCACGCCGGGGTTCCAGATCCATCGACGTTCTCTCGAGCTGTCTGTCTATCGCCGCTGGCCGGCCCTGTGTTACTCACTAGGTTTTACTGGTGGGCTTGGCGTGTCACTACTGGTTGCCAAATGCCTGATCGCCTAAGGTTTGTCGGTTTTGTGACAGTCCCTGTTGCTCTATTTCGGTCTCGTCCTTTCGGACAAAGCGGTCCCCGATCTACCGTCATCGGACAGGATTATGTATGTGTCAATGCCCGTGGCTCTGTGCTATCCATGCAGTTTTTGAAAGCTTGTGTCCTGAGTGCTGCCCATTGTCATCCCTGCGAGTGTCGGTTGAGCGAAGTCGACCCAGGGCTCGCGTCCCCCATACGCTGGCTGAGATGGCACGGAAACCTTGTCGATTGCCAACCGATCCTGATGTCTTCTAGTCAGACTGGGAGGGAATCTGAGATATGGAGGGAGGGAGGGAGAGATGGGAGAGATGGCAGAGGAGAGGGTGACACGCTGGAGCAGGATTTTGAAATTGGTGCTGGTGGTGTCAGGTTCCTTGGAAATTCCGGTGTCCGATCGCAGGGAGTTGGGAGGGATGCTCGAGATTCTCTGAGAGCTGAAAGCGAGTAAGGTCGTGATTTTTGCGAGCCTCCTTGTAACCAACTCTCCCCCCCTCGAGAGATATTCTCTGCAATTGCTCTCTTGTCTTGTTGTGTGGACGAGGTCGGAAAGAGATGCACCCGCCGTGAGAGATTTCATGTCGAAGACGGTAGATAATACGCCCGATCATAGAATGTGCTGTGGAGCCGAAGGGGAGCGAGGGGACTTGGGCTGGGCTTGCAAGAGTGGCGATTGTAAAGATTTCAACACCGCACCCACGATGTTCAGGGAACCTAGAAGGTTTGATTGTCGAGGTCCGTTCACGAGGTACGAACGTACAGTCGATCCAGCTGTAGAATCTAGTTCTAGATATGGACATGGCCGAGTGATGCATGCAAGTGACTGTTAAGATAATCATGTCTCGGGTAGAATCAGAATCGTGAGTGATTTTAGCACCTTGGAGTGATCTGTAGTCCAGCACAGACACGAGTTCAGTGCCGACCTTGCTTCGATTTTCACCTCCCCCCAAAAGCCTGGAACTTATCTCCCATGCAGTGGCAGAAGCAAATCTCCACCGGGAGAAAGGCTCTGGCCGAGACATGTATGCAATTCACGAGCTTGGCAAAAGGGTGTCGATGCCGAGTGCCGCAGTGGCAGGCACAGACATTGTCGACACACAGATACCTCGACGAGCACTCCATCTTCCTATTCTACTGCCACTCACCCAGCACGACACCTTTCGCTGTTTTGAAACGTGAAACTTGAGCGGGCATGACAACGTGAGGCTTGAGAGCACCTACCATCGAAAAGGCGAGGGGGCCAGAGGCCTAGGACAAAGCCCTGCTTGTCAGTAGCCTGGGTGGGTGTCTGAAGTCCGATGGATGAGGAGGGGCCAAACAAAGCCCAGGCCAGTTCAGCAAATCAGTCCTTTAGATGCCACGAACTTCAGCTCGTTCCAACGTCGCGGCAGCAAGAGATATGAGACATCGTCGAGAACACAGACACGCGCGTTGCGATGCTCTCCAGTGTCACGCCTCGAAATCAGCAGCACTTGCCAAAGTCAAGTCAAGTCCAGTCCAGTCCAGAATTTGCCCGGAGTCCCTCACCCTCACTCCTCCACAGCAGTCGAAGAAGAAGAAGAAGAAGAGAAGCGGCGATCTTGCTCGATGGCTGTCTGGCGCTGAATCGTCGTCAGTCGGTCAATAAGCTCGTTTGCCCCTCCCCCGAAACTCGCGTGGGCTGTACCGTGGAGTTGAGTTCTTCCTTCAGACACAGTCTGCTGGCTGGAAGATTCCGGCTCGGCGGCTGGCTCAGGGGCTGGAGGAGGGCCGAAGAATTTCTTCTTCACCTTGCTTTATTTAGGCGTTATTGGAAAGTGGGCCCGTCTAAATGTCGATTTCTTAACCTCCTGGCCTGCGATCAGATCGACGAGACGAGGGAGAGAGAGAGAGAGAGAGACCGCCCAGCCCAGCCCCCTGGGCGAGACCCGTCGCCCGCATTGCGCGACTTTTAGTCCCCCATACTCTTGGGAGCTAAAGTCCCGTGCAATGCTGGTACTGGCGAGTCAGAGCGCCAGGGCCCACCGCCTGCAACAGGCGTCTGGCTCTTGTGGTGGACAATAATGAACTTGGTCTCCCAGAGTCCACTACGTACCAGAAGTGTCAGCCATGAGCAAACAAGGCGCCACGTCCTCGGACGAAGCAAGGAAGGCCCGAGTCCATGGTTTTGGAGCTTCCGGAAGAGTCCAAGTCCGAGCCTCCGAGCCGCTTGCGAAGAATCTGACTTGGGGCCTCCGAGGCCCCACCGGATTATGTGTGCCACGCCACGCAGGCCTAGCGCTTCCAGCCTTCGTCCATTGTGACGAGGTACGCTACGTCTCGTAGATTGATATGATGGACTATAGGCCCAAGCGATCCACGCACTCACCCCCCCTTTGCATGTACTACAGTCCCTCCCACCATCCACCCCATCGCTCGCAAGAGGTTGCTGGGCTGGATCCGCGTGCCTTTTACTCGAGGCGAAGAAGAAGAAGCAGCGCCGTAGTTCGTGAGAGAGGGCGTCGGAGGGATGGCGATGGATTCCGTAAAAGACGTCGGCCGGGCCGAGAACTTTCTCTCTCTCTCTCCCTCTCTGTATCTCAGACACTCTCTTTCTCTTTCCTTACAGAGAGAAAGAGAGTGTGGCCGTGGCCGTAGAGGGCTTGGGGTTCCGTATAGCAGGATGGGGCTTTTTGGGCAGTTAGATGAAACTTGGACTCGGTCACAGCGCTTTGCAGACTTGCCTGGGCTCCCTCCTCGATTTCTGCATCGTTCGTGCTGTGCCATGGCCCCATACATACGGCCATACCTCGCTCGCTCGCTCCATCTTTCGCACTTTGCTTCGATGTCACGACTCCTGGGCGGTGCGGTGCGGGGCTGGGCTGGCCTCCGTCCAGGCCGAGTGACATACATGCCTCTCGTTCTGCGTCCTTCCCTCGAACCAACCTGTCATATTATCGACCGTCTCCATGGATCTTCCTTCGCGAGTTGGTAGTGCATGCGACACAACAAATTTCTCTGCCATGTGCGCGCTCTCGCACAGACTGATGAGTCGGTCAGGATTTTCAAGTCAAGATCCATGAACGGCCTCGCAGTGACGTAGTCCCAAAGACAAGTACGCTCGAGCAGTAAATGCCGAATAAAGGTTGAGATCTGCTTCTCTGCTCCCCTGTCAGTCACTGTTTGCTTTCCATTGGCAGCTCCCTTCTGCTTTGTCCGCTAGCTCTTCAATGCTGCAGTACCTGCGGCAAGAATCCCTCCCTTCATGACTTCCGAACTCCAGTACCTCTTCTCCCCCTTTCGTTTCATGCCTCCCCCCCCCCCCTTCCCTTTTCCAGCCCCTTCGATAACCTAATATTCCCTTAATCATGCTCTTAGCCCCCGGCTTACGTGTGCCCTTTATCCGATCCCCCCCACCTCCCGCACAGAGGCAACGGATTTCTCCCGGTGCTCCCATGGATGCCATATCCGATACGTGCGTCCCCATCATCACCCGGTTTATTACGATGCTCGTCGCAGCAGAACGCACACTTGTGCATCAGAACACGCGCGGAAGTTGCAACAGCGGTAACTGAATCTAAAGCCAGCCCCAGCCCCACCCCCATCCCCCGTCTATCGTCCTCCATATCTAGGCACCTGTGTACTTCGCAGAAGCGGAGAAGAAGAAGCTCCTAGTGCGACCACCCGGTCAGCAACTGCATCTGACCCGACCCGACCCGACCTGACGCTGCTAGCGTCTGCTGTATCCAAACCTCCACTGTGACGGTTCATCATGCTGATCACTGCGTCACTGATTTGCGATTATCGGTGCATGGAAAAATGTGTCGGAGATTTGAGCCTCTCTCTCCATGGCCTAGCGGATGAGGCCGAGTCCACTCGTAACTCGGTGGCGTTTCCACTCGGAGACTGCACAGGTTTTCAACTTGGAGCTTCCAAAAAGTGTTATCCTCGCTCGCAGCAGTTTCACGTTTAATTCGAGTCCCTTAGCTCATGCAGCTCGAAAAGTTTTCGGGTAAAGCAGATGAATTTATTGTGTTGACAATTGTGATCATTCTCTCCTTGATTGGAAACTACACTCCCCCACCTTCTTTCCCAAAGTTGGCCCGTCGTTCCTTCAAGCCGTGGAGTGTCACTCGGTTGTCGGTCTTCTCGTGGGGAGGAGGGCACAAGAGTATCTTCGTCTGCGGGATTTTCGTCCACAGGTTCGACCCGAGGGACGCAGTGATTCGTTTGGAAGACTGAGCTCATTCGAGTTCCTCACTCATTCCCTCAGGCTCTGAACTTCTTCAACTTGAAATGTGGCGTCGACCGAAGTGCTTGTCCTGTCACTGCAGTTCGGATAAGTATTGGCCTTTGGAAGACGAACTGCGCTTACGTGTCTCCTCCCAACCTTACCACAAAGTCATCACTCCTCTTCCCATAAGTCCACAGCTTCATGTGCAATCATATCCTCTGAAGCAACAAGTTCTTGAAGTGATGTGTCTCCTAATAGCGCTGCACGTAAAGTGACAACAACGCTAAAATACACAATCAGCACTAACTGTTGAATCTGCCATCTTTCAACTAGATGTGCTATCACAGGAAGAGGAGTGGCACAAATCCATGCTTGCAGTAGATTCATCCTGACCTCGTCCTCGAAACATGGCATCTTCGTGTTGAATGATTATTTCGGCGACCAAATGCCATAAACGGGACTTCAAGTGAACTAAAATTGGAAACAAACTGAACTCAACTCACGCTCCGTGGTTCAACAGGTAGTCCCGAAGAACTCTAGGA